TCAAAATTAATTTTCCTTTCTTCTCTTAATTACAGTGGCCGATTCTATTATAATAAAACTCTCATTCAATTGATGTACAATTTATTCTTCAAACAATTCACAGTTCTTATCGCGAGCAGTACATCTTTTTACATGCGTGAAATACGCATATCAGAAGCAGTTTCGGCAGTGTCTATATTCGAATCCCCAGCCTAGTGTCTACCCCCACATTTTATAGCCAATCCAAACATCTACCCTCACTTTTATAAACTCTCTGTTGCCAGTAATCAGAATCAAAACTATTAATTTAATTATTCATTGAGTTATTGCTTTTATTTTAATAATGTTATTTAGTTAGGAAACCCTAAACGATGGAGATACCTTATTTTTTGCAACACCTTTATCATACATTATGGAATGATAGTATGCAATAAAAGAATTGATTTGATGATTAGAAGATACATATACAAGAAGAAGGTACTCCATGGGTTACTTATATATTATTATGTTCGATAGGACATATAAATTATTAGGAGAAGAATCGCTACGTGTATTGTGTATTGAGTTTCAGCAGTTTTGTTGTATAAAATATATACGGCTTACAATTAAGAAAGAAGAAAATTATACATTACATTACAGTACAAAATAAAATGTATTTCATTATTTTTAATATAAGTTTATATTGAAACATTTTGTATCATATTAAAAGCAAGACAAGGGGGATACAAATTACCCATGATTACACAAGGGAAGGAGTAATTTATCAGAATGATAACAACGTTGTTTACAATGCCCAGGTGCGATATGCTCTGGAAAGCTACTCAGTGAAAATTTATGTTACAAAATACTTCTGTTGGTGATATGTTCTAGTGAACGTTAAAGCCACAATGACATGTACGAGTACTTTAATGTGAACTTTTTTAATGATCTCAAATAATAATAGAGTTCATTCAATAGTTACAATAATTTGAATGTGAAATTTACCAACCTGGATATTTTTATGATTCACAAAATTGCTTCAAAAATACTTTATTGAAACTGCTTGAGTCTTAGAATGTGTTTTTTTTTTCTTCAAAATGATAAATAAATGTATCTATTTATGTTTTTAATATTAATTTTATTTTACAATTTGTGTTTTTTAGTCTAATGTTGTTGTTTTTTTACTTTTTCCCCTTTTTAAGCTTGTTATACAAGAATGTTGTGTATGCTTGTAAAGGCTTACATATCAACCTGTCTGTTTTTCATATTAATAATAATAAATAAGTAAATAACATTCAATATCACTTATTAAGTCTAGGCTGTTACAAGCACTTATGAATGTCGAAAGCTATGCCATCGGTTTGCAAATCTACTGCGAAACACCTTGCACTGAGAAGAACCGGCAAGAAACTTAGTAAGGGCTGCTTTTCACGCTGTTTTATTTCATACAGTGATGTCAAATTAAAATTAAAAAGTGACTTCATTAGAATATGTAGTCGCTACCAACTGCTTCTAAAGTAAAATCTGACTTCTCACAGATACGAACTGTATTTCCCATCGTGCCTTCCTATCTAAACTGAATCATCCTGAACGCAATAAACCACCAAATACAGTTTTAATGCTGTGAACTTAAAAAATACCAAAATTATATATTTTTTCATGAACGTGTGAAGTTATCAGAAAAATATAAAAAATGTATCTTAAACCCAAAAATCCCAGAATTTAATTACATGATATAGTGGATTACTCGTACTAAAAAACCACCTTTTTAAATAATTCAGATACTCGTTACGTGAAAACCTTTTAGCAGACTTAATTCCCGTTTACTTACACAAATACATTTGTAATTTATATCATTTTAGAATCATTTTATCAAGTGCTCTTAAGATTATGAGTCAATTAAAAGCCTTTGTAAAGTAATCTTACTTGATCGACATTTTCATCTTAAAGTAATTGCTTTGGAATTACTTAATATTTTAATGGTGTTTGCACGCCGAGTGTTCTCTTGGCACCCCTCGTCATTATGCCGTCTTTGTTACACAAGCCGGCTTGTTCGGACTCTAATCAGTTACCTCGGTCTTGTATCTTGAATCGAATGAACCCCTTTTATTCTCTCGAGGAATGCCACTTAATTATTTTTTTCCCTAACGAGGGTAATTTATGTTCTGCCATCTTTTCTTTGTGCTTGAAAAATTTTTTTCTTTTCTTTTGCACTCTTATTTTAAGATGGATTCATAAATTGATTTTAATACGATGAGATAAGTATAAAAAAATCTATATATTTATAGTTTTAGTGATATAATTTCGTGGGAAAATAGCTTTTACAGTAGTTTCAGATTCGATACCTAGTAAGGTCAATTTTTTTTTTCTATATTATATGCTACTAAATTTGATACCTCTATTCTATTAGTTTATCTCACAAGTATTTTGGCTACTTAATTTGGGCTCTAAGAAATGTATGCGATGTTGTCCAATATTTAATTATTAATAAAATTGTATCGTTATTTATATGCGATCACAGCAACTTAGGAACGTTTATTACATTTTGAAGTCGATTTTATTTGATTGTAACTATCGATCGATTATCTAAAGTGTTGGAAAAATAAGACATAATAATTTGTTTTAAATTTATTTTATTATGAATTTTAGAAAGCTTCTTCTGAAAACTATGTCACTTAGCAGATCGGATAGGCGAATGGAAGACCTAACCTATTAAGTCGATAATGTGTCTCACTTCAATTTAATGGTAAAGTTACATTTATTTGTAACCGTCCGAATTCTCTAATATTAAAGGGTTAAAACCATTACAAAGTAAATCCCAAACCTTAACGATCTAAATGCCGTGTGTTAGTGGCAGGCAGTGTTAACCAGAATTCCGAATGGGATTTAATTAAATTAGTTAATACGTGCAGTGATAATATCGACATGGAACTTTGTTAACGGAACTTTTAGGAAACTATTTAGTAGCATCACTATGCTGGCTCGCAGTAAAGTTGTTTAGAACAAGCTATATCCAACCACAATACTCTTTATCCAACAATAGATAAGACTGTCTGGGAACTTCATAATAGTCACCTAACCCAAAATTAGAATTATTAATATGATTTGGAAAAATTCATCATATATCTAAAGATACTAATGTGGATTTCTGAAATTATCTTGACAAATGATTATATGAAATATATGAAAAGGTTATCTAAAACTTATGGTTACTGTAACTTTTTGAATGACTTTAACATCGACTGCGAAATACGTTGTACCATCCTCTTTTTGGCATATAACAATAACTTTAACCAGCAAAGCTTGGGCGAATATAAATAACGGTTAAAGTAATGACGTCATCTAACCATTGCCAAGTGGTGCAACTCATTACTTGGTTAACAGGTACTTTAACGTGTTTTTGTTAAAGTGCTAATTTAGTGCCAGCAGAAAATGACACAGATATTATGTGAGCTTCGAAAGAAAACGATATGTATAACTGTCCATAGAGCTTTGTATCATTTTCGCGGAATGTTGCTCTTGTTATAAAGGACGCTATAGTTCGCTGTTCGCTAACCGTAGGGGACACAGAGGTGAGTTAAACTAACCCTGTTCTTTCGAAATTTAAATCTGTTGGCAAGTTGGCATCATTACTTATCAACTCTAGGTGGTTGTAGTTGATATACAATAATGCCAACTTACTTCTATTTCTTTTAAACTTCATGAAATCAGGGTTGACTCGTCTATCCAAGCGACTCGATCACAGTAGGTCTTATTCCCCAGTAGAGGGTACACCGTAGGAGACCCTATGCATGAAAAAGGTTGAATCCACTTACCTCTATTTAAAACATCTCAGTTTCCCCCACCTATAATATACACCTAAAGAATGAAATTATTCTTAAATGGGTACCAGGACCCTCGGGCATCATCGGCAATGAAAAAGCGGATGAATTAGCAAGGGCTGGAGCACAGGGACTACAAATAGGACCAGAGCCCTTTTGTGGTATCCCTAAAAACCATGTGATGCAAATTCTAAAAAATGACCTGCAAAGGGATTCAAAAAAATACATCTGGGACGACATATAATCAGCCCAGAAGATATAAAATCTCTAAAAGCCGGGAATATAATTAGATTTATTTTTTGAAGTCTAAGTATTAGATAGACTTTTTGAAGTCTACCGGGCTAAAGGAGTTACTATAGATCTGGCGGCGAGTCACAATAGATCTTCAAGGTCGCAGTGACTACAGTTCCTCAGCGAACTGCATAGCCCCTTACAGCAATAAATAATAATAATTCCTCCGCTGTATAAGCTGTATAACAATATCGGCAGTACGCAAAAGCGATAGAGGTCCATGGACAGCGATTCGTATTGATTACTTGCAACGCTCTCATAATATTTTAACCTAACCTTGAAACAGACTATAGTTTTAATTAAAAGGTTTAATTTCAAAATAATAAATGTGATTTTTGAAATATTTATTAACCTTTTTATTATCTCGGGGTAATTATTTTTTCCATAATTTATGTTTTACCATCTTTTCTTTATGCTTTATGTTTTTTCTTTCGATCTCTTTTTTTAAGATAACCTTTAAAATCGATTTTAAGACAACGAGATAGGTATAAAAGTACTAATTTAGGTATCTTTTTATTTATGGTCATATTTTGAATGAAAGTTATTATATACCTACGTTTTCGAGATTATACCTTCGTAGAGAAATGGCTCGTACGGCGGTTTCGGGAGCGATTTCCGGTTTTGTCAATAAAGAAAATTATTTTTTTCTATATTGTAAATAAATATTTGTAAAATCATTATTAAAAGTACGATCACATTATTATCGATAATTTACAAAAACATCTAATTATCAGATTGTAATTTCTATTCGGCTTTCCAGAAGCTAACATCGCAGTGTTATTTCTTTTATTCAATATCTTTTGTATACGAAACCTCACAATTTCCCTCACAAAATAATAAGATCGAGGTCACCTAGATTGCTTCCGAGATACATAGCAACTGACGTATGTGCAAACAATTGTCGCAGACACAAAGACTCGTCTAGGAAACATGAGGAAGAAATTAGTTCCCGAAGAGAAACCTGTATACAATGCTGTTGCTGTATACAGAGAAAGAGGGTGAGTAAAAATACAAAGTATACAAATATACATTCTAAATATAAAACTTTAAGATTCTCTGTGAGTCTTATGTTGTCGGATAAAAATAAATAATAATAAATTAATATTAGACAACATCATATACATTGCTCCGAATCCAAGATGATTTATTTTAGAGCTAATGCCCCAGTATTATAGAGTAGATAAGTTAGATACCACAACACCCTGATCCGAGACAATATAGAAAAGTCCATTCTCAGAGATAGCATCACCTTGAAACCGGCGTACGAACAAAAATTATCAAAATAATCACCTAATTTTTATCTCGCGAAATAACGTCCGATATTGTTTAAAGACGACTTTAAGTTCTAATGAATGATCTAAATTTGGAAATTTGTATGGGTAATGTGACATTAAAAGAATAATAATTTTAATGGACATTTTTAGAACTAGCTGATAGAGTTTATACATTTTTACGACTTATTAAGACTGGTGCCTCTATTAGGCATTCAACAGGTCAGTGGGCACCTCTTAAACCCTTGTACTGAAAATAATAAAGTTAATGACACAATCCTTAGTAAAGAATACATTTAATCCAATAAATGTTTAAGTTTACAAATAGAAACCGAGAATTTTCAGTTGTAGGTATTTCCATAAAAAACTGCTTATTTGTCAAATCCATTAGAATGATAAAAACAAGAATGAATAAAGGATAAATTAATTTATCATAACTTTCCATTTATATCGCTCAAAAAACAGGTCAAGATAGCGTTACCTTGACTTGCAAGAAATAATGGAAATTGAGAGATTTTGCTCTTTAAAAAAGGGAAAATAATAATTAATCATTATTTTCCTCCATAGCTAACGGGTCTGCAGACGTTTATTCATCTTCTCATAAAAAAATAAATTATTCACCGACTAATAAAAATAAGTCACTAATTTTATTCACGAAATTTTAACATGAAAAAAATTTGAGCTCCATAAAAATGTATTATATGAAACTCAGATAATAACACAGCTATTGTTGTATAGATTAATAATAGGTACTTTCTTATAAGGGTACTATATTGAAATATTACGATCATTGTTTCGTGTTTGTTTTTTTATTATTATTTACATAATATCGAAACATGTTAAAAATCATGAAATACATATGATTTTTTTATAGTTTAACTAAAAATTTAGACTTACTAATTAAACAAAATAAAACTAACTGTAAAGTAAATTATTTTCCTAAAGAAATTTAATTTGTCACAGTATATTTATTACTACAGTTTCGTCAATACGAATTATCCGTAAAAAAAAACAAAACAAGACGTAAATTATCAAAGTAAGATTATATTCTTGAAGTATATTTTTAAGTTTTCTCAAGAATATTTAAAGTAAACAAAACAGCTTACAAACAACATATTTACTAGTTTCTAGTAAATTCGTTTCTTAATTTGATTAAAAGCCTAAGTGTGTGTGTATACAGTACAGGTGAAATAAAATCATATAGAAATAAAAAAAGAATACTAATATTGGCCAGCATACAATGTGTTTGAAATATGTAACTAATAACGAATATTATCTACAAAGAGCAGATTAATCACATTTTTATAATGAATCAGGATTTTAAATGCCTATATCACAATTTTAATACGATATCTTCTTCTAACTTATATTACAAAGAGGAAAGATCTGATTGTATGTTTGTTTGCATAGAATAGGATCCGTAACTTGGTACTGAATCGATTTTGAATATTATTTCACCTACGGGTAGCTACATAATAGGAGGGTGAAATAGGTTATAATTAATGCAGGCAAAGTCGCGGAAAAAAACAGATAGTATTATATAACTCAAAGAACTCAGGAGTTCGTGAGTGTGTGTTGATATATGGATGCAATTGAATAAACGAAATTTGTTTGATTAAGTATTGTTTAAAGTTTAAAATAAAGTGTTATTTATTTTATATATACGGTGTACAGGAGTGTTAAAGCAGTATACACAACACATTATTGTCGACAGGAATTATTTGCAGCGCCTTGAGCTCTTTGAGAATGCTATACTCGCGTACAACGAGGCGTTACGGTGGAACGTAAGTAACTCGTGTGATATATGTTACCGTTCGCAACAACTTCAACGGCACATTAGGAATTTTGGTTTGTATATATATATGTACAGAGCAATCTGACAATGTTCATGGGTTATTTAGAATAGAAGTTTGTGCTATTGGGTAGGTAAATTCACATTGCAAAGCTGGTGGATTTTAGGTTTTAGACAATATTCATTTTATATTTCAAATAATTACACATTGGTGTAATTTTTGAAGGTCAATAGTGCAGTGGTTAGCGCATTCGAGCTACGATTTGGAAGTTAAGCAACTTTCAAATGGGCTGATCATAGGATGGGTAACCAAAAGTTTACTGCCGTTGGTCTCGGCTGTAGTTAACACCCACCAATCCATACTGGGCTCGCATAGTGGGTAATTACCCATCCTCCATGTTGTATTCGAGTCCATCTGTAGGTCAATGATGATGAATTTCAACAAGATATAACAAATAGTCACATTTGTATTGTAAATCAATTCCTTTCATAAGTTATCGTGTCATAAAATCAGACTATTTTCTTGACACGAGTAAACACCTGAAGTTATAAAGGAGAACGAGATAGTATATATTGGTCACCCATTCCATGACCGCCCTAGCAACAGTTGCTGAACAACAATGATCGCGGGCCGCGGTGCTTATCGACTATGAGACCAACTCCTCCTTGTTCTTTAAATAACATTTATTAAATTCTAAAATATTTATTATCTGATTAAAAACTGCGAAAAATGTAATATATAGTAAATTGACTCATTCCGACATTACATCGAGTTAGAGAAGATAAAGATAAATTTAGTATTTACGAGAGCTTTATAAAGTCGTTCGTATAGATTAAATCGTTGATACTACTGCTACAATTTAAGCTTTTACTTTACAGCGACATTGTAGATACTGTTAAGAACCTTCCAGAATTATTTTAACTAACTGAAACAAAACAGACATTCTTTGTTTAGAATTAATTTTCTCTTGCCTCTTACACTGCTAAAAGGTTTGTAAACAAATCAAAAGGTTACATTTATATCTAATAATATTGCGATTTAATTTTTTAAGTACTATTAAAAATGTATCACCAGCCTATTATTTCCTCTGCTGTGCAGGCCACATTGGAAAGATCTAGACAGAGGTTCCCAAACATTTTTTTCTCGTAGACCCCCCCCTACTGCCACATTTTTACTATATTCCCGAAATTCGTCCAAAATGTGAAGATCTAACGATGAAAATTGGCGTCGCGGGTGAGTTCCACCCAACCCTAAATTCGCCTCTTCTATTTTTATTTCACGCCAACGTAGATCTCCATTGAATCCCTCGTGGACCTCTGGGCGTCCACCTGGATCACTTAGGGAATCACTGCTACATTGATAAATAAAATATACTAAAAATATAATATACCTGCACAGATCCAAAAAAAGATCACGACGCACGCGGGCCGAGTGGGAATTCCACGGGTGGGTGTTAAAAACTGTAGTTGCAGCAGGTACCAATAACTTATCGTGTCTTCTGAAGCACAGAGGAGCTCAAAACATTTTTGGTCACCTATCCTATGTCCGAATTTTATTAGTTTCTCTTCCAAAGCCTTCCTATATACTGCACCTGTTGACCTTAAGGAACGTTTTAAATTCCTTCACAACATACACGCTAGAGTTTTAAGGCCATTGGAGAACTTGAAGTTGTCAATATCAATGCATGCCAGTAAATTCATTAATAAATCATTTACAGTCTAAGCCAGAGGATATCATACGTGCACAAAGCATTCACATTTTTAAAGGGCTAGTTGTAGAACACTATCTGTTACTCTCTTCGAATCCTTACTGCCTATTTATGTATATGTATAATATATATATACATGTATGAATTATTGCTTATTTAATATTTAATTCATTTATTAATATATGTATATCGTAATGGGTTAAAGTTTTGAGACATCATAACCTGTACGCAAATGTTGCCTGGAATTAATTACTTTTAGTAATAAGGCCGCCCGTTGTGTATTTGTTGTATCCTGTATTGGTGTATAATAAATCATATTTCATTCGTTCACTGTTAAATTATGGTTGGTTTATAAACTCGATTCAATTAATATCTCCGAAAAGTTTATTTGACGTGAAGCCTGGAAAGTAAACAACGCTAGATTCGATTGCAAACTCGCAAACGTGCAATTAAGCAGCCGGAATGCTGATAATGTTTGCATCCATCTCGTTATCTGTGGCAGAATGAAATACACAAACACAGTTGCTTGTTTACGGTTCTATTTTTGAATGGAGACTCTATTGTCTAAATTTGGATTTTTAATTAAGAATAAGTAAAGTATTAAAAAAAAACTTATTCTAAAAAGATGTCAAGAAGGTTTAATATATTTCTATTTATTATTTTTGATCACTTGTTAGAAACAAAAGTTTGTATTAGCGAATGTTGTTGCTGCTATTTGATAAAAATAGCTACACAGATGTATGTACATACAAAATGGTTTATAAAGTTAAATAATTGTTTCTTTTTATAAACTCATGAAAACGAGTCGGAAAAAAAACTACTTTATTATTAGATATGATTGTAATAGATGTTAAAATCTAGTTTTTACCGATTTACTATTACAATTTTATTAATATTATTCCGTATTACAAATAGTATAATAAAAAAAAATCGTATTTAGGCAAATTATCAAATAATGTTCTTATTAAATTATTCATTCTTAGGGCTCTGACGTGCGCTCGCTTCTTGGGCGCAGTCTCGCTAGAGCTAAAGCGACACACTACGTTGGAGCATTGGCAGACGCTGCGAAAGCAGCTGGTAATCTTGTTAATTAAGTTTCCTGTGTGCTTAAAATGCATTGCCTGATTCTATTACGCGATAGGCATTAGCTAATACGTTAAGTATATTACAATATACATCATGAGCTTTTAGATTGTTTAGATATATTCATTTCTTTGACAGAAGTGTTGATAGAATCAAACCTAATTAGCTATATCTTTAATTGAGCTTTATATACGAGCATTATGTTTTTTATTTTGTATTATAATATTTTTTTTTAATTACTGTGCGTTTCTAAAACGGATATTTTTTTAAACATTTTATATATCAGTTTTGCATTTAATGTTCTTCATGAAAATGCTTAAAAAGTCCTCTTTGTCTCTGGTACTCTTAAAACTATTTCTTTTGGATGTTTGGGTGGATTGCCTGAACATTGATAAAAAATACGCTCTGTAATAACGAAAAAGTAACAAGTGCTTGCAATTCGTCGGTCCTGTTGCGTCCAGGGTAGCTCAGTGGTCAGAAAAATCGCCCAGATTGCGAAAGGTCGCGGGTTCGAATCCCATCTCAGAGTACCAGGGATAAAGTGACTATTTTCATTAAGAATATTTTCCAATATAGCATTTTGAATGCAAAAATTATAAAAATTATATCGATAATTAGTTTGTGATAGCAAAACATGTGAATAGATAAAATATTTTTATATAGACTTATTTTTATATTTGCAGTTAATACATTAAATTTTGTCTGCAGACTCTAGACATAAAGTAGAGACTGTAGACTATTTGTTTTACTTGTCTGATATTTTAAAGATCCACTTTTATATTTTAGTCTTAAGAACCTTGATATTTGAATCTTATTCATACAGAATTGGAACCTGAAAATATTTCGGCCCTTCAAATAAGAGCACAGACTGAATATCAGAAACGTGCCTTTGAACGAGCTTTAGTTTTGGCTCATCGAGGCCAGAGTTTAAGAAAGCTGCCGCCTAACTTTGCAGAATGCGCAAGGGTAGCTGAGGAAACAGTGAGTATATAAAAATTATAAGTATTCATATTACTTTTTTATTATCATTTGAAATTAGTTACATAAAACCAATTAATATAGTTATAGTAAACCCTTTATATCTTAAAAGGTTTAAAGAGAAATTTTTTTGTTTATATCGAATGCGCTCCGAAGCTTTTATCCAAAGGATTTTTAAAATTATTTCACCTACGGGAGACTACATCATACGGGAGTGATATGGGCTATAATTTACGCGGGCCATGTCACGGGAAAATAGCTATATTTTATAAAACATTCGAACTATCAAATAATATTTTGCTTGATACTCTTACAGCTAGTTGCCGAATATCCATTAAAATTTACATTTGTTTAATGTCGCATTACTGAAACAAACTTTTAAATAAAGAACATTCATTAGAGCTTCATGTTGTTATTAAACTTATGAATATGTATACCTATTGTTTTAATATATTAAAACTATGGAAATTATTGGAAAAATAAAGCATAAAATCAATTTGAGTTCACATAAACACTTCTGTGAGTTGTTCAATAGGTTATTTTGAATAAAACGATACAGAAGTCTTAATTTTACTTCTGCTTTGGGTTACTTTTGGAAGAGGTAAAAATAATACATATAGTTAAGGTAAACTCTATGTGTATCTGTGGATTAGACAGATGGTAAAAATCTATCTATATAAGTTTAATCATTCGTAGTGAATAAGAAAAAAACAATTTTAAGGGCTTTCCCTTTGAGATTCTTGATATTAACAATTAAAATACAATCTTCTTCATCTTCATCAGCCGTAAGACGCGAACGACACACTGATTGATGACTTTGGTCTTGAGACACTGTGGTAATTTGGACGCGAAGATTTTTTGTAGCTTCCCAAACGCTGCCCATTCGAGCTGGAGTCGACGAGAGATCTCTTTCTCGATATTGAACTTGCCTAGCCTAGGACTGTCTGTTCTGGGCACACATAATGATCGATAACTTCAAGAGTAGTATACCCAATTTTAACTGGAGTGGTACAACATGGACGTTTGACATAATTTTCGTCTTATCCATGTTCATCTTAAGAAGCACTCTTTGGGATGCACTACTGAGATCTACAAGCATGTTGTTCAGGTCTTCCAAGGTCTCAGCCATTAGGACTACATCATCAGCAAAGCATAGGTGTGTAAGATACTCGCCATTTATATTGATGCCGTATCCTTTCCAATTCAGAAGCTTGAAAATATCATGCAGCGCAGCGATGTCTTCCTGCCTTACGCCACGCTGCAATTGGATAGGATTAGAGTTCTGGTTTTGTAATTGGACCGACACAGTAACATTCTTATACAGACACTTTAATGCTTCGATGTACCTGAAGTCCACTTGGCACCTTTGGAGAGACTGCATCACCGCCCATGTCTCGATTGATTCAAAGGCTTTGTTGTAGTCCACGAACGCCAAGCTGAGTGGCCGGTTATACTCTTCGGACTTCTGTGTAACTTGCCGCAGCGTATGAATATGGTCAACGGAACTATAGCCTTTTAGGAGTCCAGCTTATTCGGGAAGTTGGAAGTCGTCGAGCCTGCAAGTGAGACGATTCGTAATGACCCTTATGAACAACTTATAAACGTGACTCAAAATAGTAAAAATAGTTTTTCAAGAGGGCTTTATCACCCTTTTTGAAAAACAGGGCGACCTCACTCCCACTCCATGCTTTCGGCGTTTTACCTTCGAGAGTAACGGAATTGAAGAGCCTCTAGTCGTATCGGCTTATCGCCCGCTCTCAGAAGTTCTGAGGTTATTCCGTCGTCACCCGTTGCCTTGTTGTTTTTCAATTTTTAAGAGCCATACTAATCTCATACAGACTTAACGTCCAGGATTTCTTCGGTAAAGTGTCAGGTAAGCTTGGCTCTAGGATCTCTTGCCTTGCTTGTCAAGGACGCTAAAGCGGTTCTGAAGCTTGAGTTGAAAACTTTCGGAGTTTTGGATCTGTGCAGGTATTGGTCGGAGCGTAGATTTCATCAATCGAGAAGCTTGATAATGATATTCAATGTGCTTCGTACCAGCCGATGATTGCTTCCCGTTTTAACGGCGTTGATCACAGAGAAATCATTGAATATTTGCTTTTGTTGTTGACATCCAGGTCTATTTCCGATTTTATGGCTTCTTGAAGAAAGAGTTCATCATGTAGATTCTCCTTTTCTATGAAATCTGCCAGCATCTGGCCTCTTGAGTTCCGGCACCCAAATTCAATTTGCCGCAACGTTTTCCTATATTCGCGTTAAAGTCCCCCATCACAACCGTGTAGTGGGTATTGTAACTATGCATGGCTTTTGAGATCTGCTCATACAAAGCCTCCACTTCGTCATCTGGGTGCGTCGATATCGCAGCATAAACCTGTACGACTTTCAACTAATATCGATTTGATATTTTGAGTATCAGGTATGCTACCCTGGTCGACACACTTCCAATGGTAATCACGTTTTTTACAAGGGACTTGTGAACCATGAACCCGACACAACCTAGGGACTGTTGACCACCTTCCCGGTAGTATAGCAAGTTGCTGGAATCAAGGATTATCGAGTCCTCTCCCTCTTTTCGGACTTCAGATAACCTGACAATGTCCCAGCGTAACTTACTGATACATTCTTCCAACTCCGTTAGCTTCGCATCTGTCCTCAATGTTCGCGTATGTCCTCAATGTTCGCGTATTTTAGGTTGCCAGGTCAAGTCGTCGTATATGGTAGCCGGATCTTACTCGGAGATTCTTCGCACCCCTTGCCCTGCCGTTACCGTAACAAGGGATAGTAGGGCTGCCGGAAACTAGGGGCTGATTTATTTTTAGGTTATCCATAGGGAGGAATTACCATAATTGCCACGCTTGACAGGCGGGCTGGCGATCGCAGTGGGCACTTCTTAGTAAACGCTGCTGCCCATCTCCTGATAGCTTGTTCCCTTAGTCGCCTTTTACAACATCCACGGGGTGGGAGGGGGTGGTGATATGCTAGGCCGGTATACACACAGCAATACAATACTAAAATATAAATTTGTTATAAGTTAGTTGAATATCTAGTATTACTACTTACCTACACCATAGCTGACATTCAACAAAATTAGGATTCAGCTTCATGAATAATTTCCTCTCAAAATATAATTAGATCAAACTTATTCCTTCGAATTTCAGACTTCGAGAAGTTTCATAACTATAAATTTCTTCGAGGAATCAGATATACAGAATTGAGTTATTTCGTAATGGCTATTTATCCAATTACGGTGAAGCAAAAAGAGGATTATTATTTTGTTCAAATATTAACCTGTTCCCTACGAACTTCTAAACTACTTACAATGATAGAATATCGCGTCGTTAAAGAGTCGCAAATAAAACAGATTTTTCCTTTACGAAATCCTATTGAGTATAAAATGAAAGAACAAAACCTAATAGTCTAAATACGATAAAAGAAAAATATCAATCTCCTTATCTAATATTTTATTATTGTACGTCTGTACGAGTGATTGAACGGATTTTGACGAAATTTTGTATATGGATAATTCTAAGGTAAAATTAACTAGACGATTCACCTACTTATATCACCAAACGGTTCTCTAGGAACAAATACCTCTTGTAAACAATGCGGGCGAAACCTCTAGTGGAAAGCTGGGAGATTAATAATCTAGAACCGATTATTATTATTAATTTTAAATCATCATGTTATCTAATTTATAACTTTATCATAATCAAATTTTCATATATTTTATCTCTACCAATAAGCTTTAGGTACTATTATATCTGTTTTTGATGAAATATTTGAGTTATTTTAGATTTTTTAAGAAGTTATATTTACAAATTTATTTTTTTGTTTATGTAACAGATTCGGGAATGTACAGGTAAATATGCAGGGAAGATGCTATCTAATACCTTGGCTATTCGTCAAGTAAAGATAAGAGCGGAGTTGGATGATACCGATGTTCCTTTAGTGAAGAAACGTGTGAGTCGTATGCAAAAACAGCCTACACAAAAGGTATACTATTTTTTAACTTCATTAAATATTTATAAGACAGTATTTAATGAAAATTGTCTTATAAAATTTTGGAACCGACAAATTAAATTATAAAAAAAAAATAAAAACAAAGAAACAAGAACAAAGACAAAGAAACGACAATTAACATTTCATTCTACTATTCCTTTACTTTAATAACAATGTACAAAAACAATTTACTTTTCGCACTCTAATGAAAATTAAAAATCAAAATGTCTTCGTCTAATATCAAGCCGAAGTTTAAATAAACAAAGGAATCTTATTCCTTTACATATTTATTTTATGTCGATAAAAACTTATACCAACATAAATTAGTATTTTAAGTTATAGTCTATTACGTGAGTATAAGATTTTTCGCCTGTCCCAGAATAAGAGTATGCCATTTTTATTCAAACTGTTTTAGCAAACACATGAACATTCAAAAACACAAAACTGCTAAAAGTTCTAACAATTTATAACAAGATTATAAACCAACGTAGTAGAAAATCATCAGGCACCATATCTAGTGTTTTATTTTGAAAAAAAAATGTTATTCTTATCCTACATTAAATATTGCCACATAAATTGCAGCTCTAACATATCCAACCTCTGTGTAAATAATACTGGAGAAATGTACGTTTACCAGATTGGAGCTGAATGCAACTAACGACTTAATGTAATTGAGCCATACATTCGAAGCATTGCCGTTTAAAGCTACTTTCCTCTAAAGAATTTTTAAATTATGCCAATCCGTTGATTTCTTTATGCGCTAGCTCCCATTTCAAAATTGAGATGTCTTTTTAGCAACCTGATTTTGAAATTACGTAACATTGTATAAACTTGTATTTGTATTTTTCTTAAACATACTAAAACAGTCATTCAAATATTGGGTATGTAGGTATTTTAAATAATAATGTTATATTACTTTATCTTTGTAAAGTACTTGATCTGTTAGCATCAATCCAAGCTGAAAAAGGCAAACGAAACAAATTTTATACACATGTGGATGGCAGGTAACATTGGAATTTTGATGATTTGACGCATACGAGAGTGTGCGAGGGTTAATTAAATTTTTATGCTAACAATTTATTTCTTTCTCCTAAATGCTGTGTATTTTGTTACTTTATGCTGAACGCACATTTATATATTCATCACAGGAGTAAATATAATTAATGAAATAATAGTTCAAACTGGTCTTGATTGTTCTGGAAATTTAAACTCCCAGTCGGCATGTTTTCTAAGAGATTTTCAACTATCATCGTCATTTCAATACATTAGTAGTTTTACGCAGAGCCTCAGTTGAAGTTTACAGGACTTTATAAACTTTATTGTGGAAATTATATCGAAATTGGTTTGGTCGCATTTGCGTCTATCGTATTCTAATACACTTTATTTTATTACAATTAATTCACCCGTTCATTCACTCAATCATCATTAGAAGTTCGTTCATGTTTATCCTTGACAACGCGACGATGATAATAAAATACGAGTACGAGTCGAGTGGTTCGTACGCCTGTTTCAAGGTGTCGCCATCTCTGAGGTCCCGGGTTCGATTTTTTGTTCGAAAATGAACTTTTATATATTATCTCGGGTCTGGGTGTTGTAGTACCTTCGTCTCAGATACTTCATAATACGGGGGCTTTAGCTACTAATATTGGAATGATACTGAACAATGTGTGTGATGTTGTTTAATAATTATTATTTATTAAATATTTAATAACAATACTTTTTCTTGAATATTTTTTTTTAAGTTTACATACAGAGTACTGAAAAATAGACTTACTGATAAAATATATTTTCTTCTCCTCTTTAAACTTTCGCATGCAACGCAATTTGATTACTGTGTTTTATATTATGACATCGAACATAGATCTAACCTAACCTTTGGATAGGTTAGGTTAGAATTGCGATCAAAATTTTTAAGTTTATCGATATATAGTAATGAACAAAGTTGGTAATATGTCATTTTTAATGAATAATTGATTGCAGTCGATACTTCGACTTCTTAAATAGTTATTTCTTCACGATAACTATTCCAAGAATTTTGCAAATATACTAAGTTCCGTACACGGTCACATTACAAGGTGTCCTTGAAAGGACAAAAGCCGTAAATTATATAAGTTTGATTGTAATTTCTGTGCTCTTAGAAGGGACTAATAAAGTATTTAAGCCTACTTTCGTGATTGAGTTTTATTGTCAGCAACAAAAGACAATTTATACATATATCAAGTATAGACTTTCATCAAGCATAAAGTATAGGTTATAACATGAAATGATTTCAGTTACACAAACGGACATGATTTATGAAAAGTCAAGATGAAAATAATGAAAATAAATATTTTAGTGGTTTTACTACTCCTTGGAAATCCATGTGTATAATAACCAAGTATTCACCAAAGGACTGGATCGGCGGTCCAACAATCGTGGATCACGAATTGCGGATCGAATATCAAATAATTTTTCATACATTGGACCTCGCGAGACTACGTCCACATCGACCGCTAATGTACAATGCACTTCACGATCAGTGTGTTCAATCAATCTTTTGCTCTGGATTTGGCTAACTACTGGACATAATAAACCTAATCATATAATTACTATAAAAATGTGGCACCTGAAATTAACTAATAATTCTCATAAGATTTATATGTTTATATGTCATGTAAATCACGTTCTCAGATCGTTCCTCCACGTTAAGTACATGCCTAACATCCAAAACCGTCGACGTGGAAGGGTTTTTAGAAACCTGTTTACATTTATTACGGAAATCATACATTTTTCATAACATTGAATCCGTTCCGACGTATGTTACGCATAAAATATGAACACGTATTTTATTATAGCGAGTAATTGAAATAATGGGATACTCCACAGAGATCCATCATAAAGATATAAAATCATATTTAATAAAGATTGAGTACAACTTCGGCTAAAACACCAGGGTTAATAAATAAAAATATAGACCAACCCTTCCTTTCGGTGTCACATCATACTAAGGAATTATTTTCCTTGAACACTTAGAAAGGAAAAAAGTAACATTTTTCATTAAGACCTTTATGAAAAATGTTACAAGAATCCACCCACAATCATTGAGCTACCCGAGAAATAACAGGACTGACGAATTTTTTAACCACTAGTTCGAGTACTTATTGCTACTAAAGAGCGTATTTTCATCGATGTTCAGGCATTCTACCCAAACAGTCGAAACAAATATTTTAAACCTTCAAATCAAATTAAAATTCATTCTAATTATGATATTTAATCAATTTAATTCACAGTGCTATATTAATGATATATTTAAAGAAAAAAGTCGAGTCCCACTACGGAGTATCTAACCGCCTATCTCTCTAGCCATAGAATACGACTCCTTATCGATGTTATCCCTATATTTCGTTTCATTTTAATACTTTGACATTACGAAAACGAATCCATGATAAAGAATAATGATGATGGATTTGATAGCAGCGTTACCAACTTAATCATTCGTCTCAAAGAATCATGTCCTGTCATATATATATATTTTAAGGTCGCGTCTACCCACCATTAATGATAATTTAAATTACTCATAGTTTTTGCTTAAAATAGAATATCTTAGCATCTTTATATTTGGAGAAGCTTCGTAATTTGTAAATAATGTTGTAGTAAAGCTACTTTAAAATGAATTAAGTACCTATTGAAATCAAAGCTTTATATATTTTTACTATTTAAGGATTGTTAAGCGTTTTTCATTAAATATTTTCATCAGTATAGCATTGTAGAACACCTAAATGAACTGCTAAGATAACGTATCTTCTGTCAGAAGACCAATCAAGATAGGTCTGTCCCACCCTAGATCAATTTAGTTCAATCCAATTCAATTTATTCCTTATTGGTTCTTCTGTAATTTAGCCAGTGTCTAGCTCCTTGTGACGAATCCTGAGTGGTTGGTCTGTCAAGATAACACTAGTCAAATGTTCATTCAGAGACTTTGAGAGATGAATCAGAACTTCAGTTACTCGGTTAAGCCGCTGGTTACCAGCCTGTAGCTTTAACACAGGAAAATTTAAACATATCCTCTGAATCCAAAGCATATATTTTTCAAATTTATCAGCATATCTGTAAAAATATTCTGTAATAAAATTAGTCTCAAATTTCACGACCTGCACAGCGCTGTCACAGCATAGTTTCAATGAAATAAAACCTTTATTACCTTTTCATTTTGGTATTTTTTTGATTGAACCATTATACCGTGCTTGACGTTGAAATCGAGGTTGATTTTATTACGGAATAGAGCTGCTTGAATAATTCAAGCTTGAAAATTAAAATAGCGTATTTCACATATGAAGCTTACTAACTTATTAAGCCCCTTGTCAAAACTAGGTCCAAGAATTGTCTCATGCGGAGAGGCAGAGAGCCGAACAAATTTCACGGCTCATGGCTTCCAAATACTTAGAAGGAATGGCGCATGATAAATATTTCCTAACATCACTCTGCAAGGATGAAAGGCTATTGTCAGCGAACAAACAAGGTTCTGTTAAATTACAAGAACTAGCAAAAAAGGCGCTTTCTGATGTAAACAATAGACAGGTAATTTAAGTCATATCTACCTTATTGTTTATGCGCATCTATCTATACATAGTAGCAAACAAAGACATTTACCGCTGTCTCATGTTGATATCTTTCAAACCACACAACGGATTTTAATGCGACTTCCATAAAAATACATAGTAAATAATAATTTTCCTCTTAAAATATCAAGAAGAAAATTTGTAAAATTTATTAAAACTTAAAATTTGAAGCTGCTAGCAGTAAGCTAGTAACAAATAAATTAAAATACGTGTGCCTAATAGTATGACTAATAATCACTACATCTATTATAAGCACAGAACAAAGAGAGACATGTTCTGTGATTATAAGCATCCTTATTTATTACTTGCTATGTATTGGAACATGTATACTTATATTTATTACGTTTGATCAATTTTTTCATTCATAATGCTATACTGAAAAATATTCTCAATTAATTATTAGCAATCGGTCGGAGCGCGAAAGGTCATGGGTTCGAGTCTCTGCTCAGAGTTCCAGCGACAAAGTGGGTTTTTTAAGCATTTCTAATATACTTATATTTATAAATATTATCATAATATCTGGGTTGTTCACAAAATCGGCACTAATATTTTTTCAGCTTCATTATTATTAATCTCATAATCATCGTCAAGACCTTTTCATATCTAATTAGGATAGGTTATTATGGGATTTCTACTGATCGGATTTAGTATGGTGACATTGATTACATTATCAACATATATCCAGGATAACCTTATAGTATCACGGCTTTTTTTAATTGTTTATTTAAAGGAACCAACGTTTGTATTAGATGAGCACAAGATATTAACAAGAAAAAACCTACACTTCCCTATATTAAACATAAATGCTTTCGTTTTTCTTTTTAGTATGGCTAAAGTTAAATGGTTTCTTTATTTCCGTTTCTACTGCGCATTTTCAGAAGTCATTGGACCGTATGTAGGAAACTACTTAATACTTACTGATTATGTTTAGGTTGTTCTTCGTGAAAGACGTCCTTTGTACGCCGCCCGCGCATCCGAGGCAGCGGCTCGAGCACGTCTTTTCCGCACGAGAAAAGAACAACTAACTCGTGCTCAGCGTCAACATGCTGTAGACGCACGAAGGTTAATCCATGCAACCCAAGCAGCTTACGAAGAGAGGGACACTGCGAAATGTTTGGAGAATGCTGAATTTGCAATAGAACGGATCTCTAGGAAATCTGTTAGATTGTTGCCGTCGAAAGAAAAGTATTTGCAGCAGATATACGATATAGTGGCGAATGCATTTTTAGATCAAGTAATTTATTTAAGTTTGCACTTACCTAGAGCAAGACATATAGCATAACTAGGAAACGCCTAATCTTGTGAATCGCCTATGCTGATTAGTTTAATTCCAAATCAACATCTTTTCTCTTATCTCTTGATATACATATTTGTAATCAGTCATGTAAGGCAAATGCCAAGGTCAAGGCGCCGCATAACGCATATCATAACTTAAGATATTGCTTAATGTCGTAAGGTGGTTCCTAGTCATTGGTGAAATACGTTTTCACTTTAGGCTATTCCTAAATATTTAGGCAGCAGATTTGAGTGACTCCTAACTTTAGTAAAAACGAGCAAAAAAGTGCCTGCCATTCAGTGTTTATTAATTATTGTGTTTTCAGAAATGCATAAAGGAAACTATGAGTGAATCAGACCGTGAGAAGAGGGCATTTATACTTCTTGGAATGTACGTCTCAAGGGAGCCAAGTAGGGATTCTGTGCTGAAATCCCGACCACCAGAGCCCCCAAGAGATGCTAAGTAAATTTTGTAAATTTATATTCTAAAGGATTTCGTTTTCTCTGCAAGCTCCAGAGTATTGTCCACATTTCTATTCTGCATAATGAGACCTTGGTTTGTTTGTTAGTTAAATTGTCAAATAAAATCTTAAAGATAAAACTGCACGTAATATTTATATTATCGTGATTACGCGTAAGTTGAAACTATTATAAATATTCTTACATTACATGATGTCAATGGTAATTAGGAGATCACTATTTTTGTTGAGAATTATGAAGTGAGAATTATCTTTTTTTATACCTATTAACATTAGCCTCTAGAAGAGTTGCCTAATTGCCAAATTTTAAAATCTACCGCAATCCCTTTCAATAGAACATTTTAAAATTATTAAAGAACTTCACGCTACAACTATTTGACTTGTGATAGAGATTGGGAAAACGACATCTTTTGAAAAATATTGAATAAACAATATCGTTAATTAGACGTTAATTGGAATTGTCTAAGTAATGCAAAAACTGCTAGAAATCTATTGAGATAATTCAAATGAAAGAGTTAAATCCTAGCTTCAATCTTTCGATGAGTTTTAACTGTACTTATTATGTTTCTTGATCATTAAAATAATCTTCGATCCAAACGCGATAAGTCGCTGTCACAATCGCTATACTTTAAAAAAATATCCCACAGGTTACTAGAAAGATTTAAAAATACCTGATGCCTACATAAAGTCACCTATATATAAAAATATAGCTATTCATCTTTGATAGACATAAATTATAAGTTGAATATTAATATAAATATTAATTAAATATCAGGCAACGCCTACGTATTATGGAGCGCGCTCTAGCTATGAGCGTAAGGCCATCAGAGCGATGCTATCTCCTCCACGAACTCGCTAGACTTTATGCGGAGACAAAACAAGCCCAGAAAGCTCGTTACTTCGCTCTGAAATGCCAAACAGGTATATTTTAAGGATCTTGGTCTCGACATTTAGCTTACTAACAACAAAACAATTTTTGTTTGTATTGAAAATCTCTGAAACAACTGGAGCAAATCCGAAAATTCTTACACCTATAGTAAACTATGTAGCCTCCCTTGGGTGACAGAATTCATAAAATGTCACAGTGGGTGACATAAGCTATAATTTACACGGGCAAAGGCGCGGGAAAAACCTAATATTAAATATAATTGAAGCTCACATTTCATTAACATAATTTTACCGTTTATCATATAAACAAGAATATGAAGACACAAATGATATTTATTTTTTTTTAAAATCGGTTTTCAAAATTTAACTTTAAATCGGTAGCAGTAATAAATACTTAGTGATTAGAGTGAAGATTGCTACTCAAAACTTGATTGAATACTCAAAAATAAATGAATCTCGTACCCATGTCGTACCACAATGACTGCTCACTTAAATAATAAATTGACAATGTTCTATAGTGGCGAGAGCTTCAGATCAGCGTGTTTGGCTACTGAATGCATCCTTTTTGCTGGCACGTTGTCACTTACAACAAAACAATCGCCCAGAGGCTCGTGCTGTACTTATAGACACTGCAGCGCTCGCAAAATTACATGGCGACAATGAAGTAGCACAATTCTTCGACACGGTATGTAACTTAATCACACCATCATATCGAAATAATTCATCACCATCATCCCTTTTACATTTTAACTACAGGGTCTCAGTCCTTCATTATGGATGGTTAAAGAGGATAGTCCACACTGGCCAAATGAGGATTGGAGGGTATTCCGACACTCAAATGCAAATTCAGCCAGGACCAACGGCTTAGCGTGTCTTCCGAAACACTGAGTAGTTGGAGATAATAATTTTTGATCACCCATCTTCGCAGGCCGCAGCGCTTGTCCACTATGCCACCGAGCTACTAAATATTTATAAAAATTGCTTTCGTGACACAAAGAGTTTTTAATTTTTTTTTTCTTTTTTTACTTCAATCTTCAGCTGAAAGTGTTATCTGGATTTTGTCTATAAATAAATACATAAATTGATTTTGGGGTTATATGTACCCGATAAGGTAAACGGTAAAATTATGTTTCATTAACATAATTTTACACAAATGATATTTAAAAACATATGGTACATATACTTTTTAAATTTTAATATGTTTCATACCTTTTACAAGGATCGTATCAACAAGATATCGGTTATCTTTGAGGAGTTCATTAATTTATAATTGGACAATTCAAAAGTGCTTGAAATAAGCTTACTTTAATAAAGATATTTACAACATCATCATCAAGGAAATTGTCTAATTATGCAGTCAAGAGTTGATACATTACATCTTTGTAGCATTATTTTTTATATATAAACATGAAAACAATGCGTCATTCGTACACCAAAGTACTCAAAAAGTTGCGTTTCATTGACGGGAATGACCTATATAGCTTGAGACATGTACAAGGAACAATATAACCGAGGTCGGGTACAAGAGGTCAGATTTACAAGAGCTCTCAAGTAAGGCTCGAGTACGTACGGGTCGTGGGAGAAAGGGACACTGCTATTTACGGCCCATTCTATCAAATGTAATTCTCATAATCCCAATTAAGCCACGTTTCCACGGACCAACAATAGACAAGAGTCTGGTTGAAAAAGATACATTACATCAAAAGGTCAAAGATATATTTTTCTTTCTAGTTAATTATTTTTTTGTCATATCAGCCAACTATCACGGATCTAATGATATTTCAAGATAATACAGAAGGTATTTGTTACGATATTGTTGCAAAATTCAATGAGAGAAGATTTATTATTACGACAACTTTCTTTTTTGTAATATATGATTGTGGAAATGTATTTCTTTTCGATCAATTCTTTTGTATTATACAGTGTGTCAATATATGTCTGGAGGGAGAAGTAGCGGATGCAGAAGAAAGTTTAGCGAAGCGCGAGAAGGCTATGCTTAGTTTGATGCAAGACTCCGACATGCGTAGTGCAGCAGAGCATCTCTTCAGGAGAATGTCAGTTATCCCTGCATCGAGGTGAGTGATCTATCTTATCACGTGTGTTGTATATAATACTAATACTGTATCCTAGACTAATAATAGTTGGAATAAAATAAACGTTTAATTGAAACTCAATGAGGAAGTATTTAAAAAAAAAAAGTTCCCGAAAACAAACTAGATATCGCTACGGTACGTTCTTGATTTCTCCATGACAACCTTTCCGGTTTTCTTTCAAGTTTAAAAGTAAATTAGTTTTCAAAACTCAATAAACAACTCATATTCTATTTGTATTTTTTCGTATTTGTATTGATATCTTAGTTACGAACTTTTCAAATTTCAGTTTTTAATATGTTAGTTAAAAGTTACGGAAATGACTGTCTTTGGTCCATTCGTTTCCTGCAAAAATCAACTTTTGCTAGAGTCGCCATCTAGTGGAGGTGCTTTTTAAGTGCTTTCGTTTTTTTTTAAATACTTCTTCATTGACGACTTGAAGGTGTCGGATTGATATATTACTAGTATCGTACAGTATTCCTTATACGTAATTAAAATTGATGGGTTTAATATTTCTGACCAACAAACGACTTAAAAAAAAAAATCACTTTCCTTGAATAATGATGATAATAAAATTATAATTTCGGTGAATTGTTCTAAATCTCATCCACACTATTGCGAGCACGAATAAAATCGTGAAATCGACTTAACCATATTCGAGTAATCCGACTATCACAGATCACAATCATATTTATTTTTCCGCAATTGGTTCTACTCGAGATAAGCAACGAAAAACACGGTAAAATATTTATATACCCACCTACTTCGTATCCCAAATTCGTAGAAAAGCTCCATCATTGTCTTAATTACATTGGATGTTCAATGAGAAGGCTTGTAATTAAAATCATAGGCTCAAGAGACTTCAAGACAAAGTCCAATTTATTTAATTTAAGCGAAAGAACAAGATTTGTTTAGTTTATTAATTACTTTACTTAAAATAATTTGCTATTCTTAGTAAATTTCTGTGATTTCGTAATGAAGGTATCAATAAATTAGTAAATAATAAATAAATATTAAACAACATCACACACATTGCTCAGATTCCAATATGAGTATCTAAAGCCCCTTTATTGTGGAATATCTGAGTCAGCAAAGGTAACACAACACCCAGACCCGAGACAATATAGAAAAGTCCATTTTCTACATTCACCCGACCGGGAATCGAACCTTGGACCTCGGAGATACCGGCATGCGAGTGGTAAGACAACATAAAGGTACTCGTACCATTTGACAAAATCCTGTTTTAATACATCTTTTATCAGCTTTGGCATTCATTTATAATACAGCGTCAAACGCAGCGTTGAACACAACACTGTTGCAGCATCGGAAATTCAATCAACCAAAAACTTTGTTAACTTTTAAAGACAGGTTATTTAAATTCCAAAAATTCTCCTTTAAATATCACAGAAAACGTTTCATAACGTGTCTTCTTAACAAAAAGATTTAAAATAATCTTATTAATAATTTAAACAATGTTGCGTTTATAATACTCTAATGATAAATATTTTTAGTGAAAAATTCTTTAAAAAAATCATTAGAGGCAGGTACCGGTACCTAGAGCTGATGGAATTAAGTATTTTTCATGAAATATAGTCTAATTACTTCATATTACGATGCCTTCATTGAGTTTCAAAACCATAATCTATGCCGGTCACATTACAATCTTAATAATTTTGTATATATTTATAGATATCATTTTGGAGAAATTTTCACATTTGTTTGTAACTTTACATTTACGCCTACGAGTTTCACGTAAATAATATTATCTAATAATTATATGTTATGCAATTTTAATGTCTTTGTCGCACATAATATTTTTCAAAATGGTTAATAAAGCCACCCTGTTGAATGTACCTATTTGGTACGTCACAGTAGCTCTGAATATTCCGTGCGATTCAGGTCGTCGGGTTATCAATTTAGGGGAATAATAACAGGTTGCCAAGATACGTTTCAGGCCAATTGGGACAGAAATGTCTCGCAATAAGGGCGTAAAATTAGAGAAATTAATAACGTACTCATTAGCTCCCCTGTGTCTTACTTTACATATACATAGAGGTAGAATTTTCATGTCTTATTAAGAGTTTCATTAGGTTCATACGAATTACAATTTACTACTATTAATTTTAACAAATTTAAACTAGTGAATTGTAACTAGTATGAAATAATTCCGTACAGGCGTTTTTTAATCCACGGAAGATTCAGACGCACCATCCCTGGCGCCTGATGGAACATCAAAGCGTGTAACTACATTGCTTTTGATTTGTTTGACATTTGATTTAATCAAAATACATGTACAGCAAATAACGTATTCAACGCTAAATGCATATCATTCAACACAATTTATTGAACGTACAGTATACAGTATTGAATGTTGAAGGCATTTTATTTGAATTCGGTGTTAACCAAATCGAATACAATGTAGGGAACATCTTCATCAGTTACTGTCATATTGCACATACTATAGGACTTCAATAGTAAGTACCGTATATCGGTCACCACATATTTATTTCAGAAAATTTTTCTCTTCTAAGCTTTCTGATCACTAAAAGCTAAGAATCTAATATATATAACTCAAAGACTCACTGATATAGTGATCTATCAACGCACAGCCCAAAGTACTAAACGGATCGTGCTGAAATTTGACATGCAGGTAGATGTTATGACGTTGGCATCCCGTAAGAAAGAATTTTGATAAATTCCACCCCTAAGGGGATAAAATAGGGGAAATATGAAACTTTATTTCAGATATTTTACACGATATAATAGTAACTTTACCACGCGGACGAAGTCACGGGCAAAAGCTAGTATTCTATAAATGAGTTTCATAAGGCACAGTAAGTTATAAACGAATATAGAAACACTAACTCGCTAGCTACCAGCACTAGCATAGTATTTTGGTCTGAAAAGCTCGCCTCTTTTTAAAAAATCTCCAAAACTTTTTTTATGAAATTTCTGTCCAATAGAAATTATTTATACGCCGTTTGTGAATTTCGTCTCTATTAATAGTTATAAAGAATCAGCTTTGTGTGAGACAAATAGATAACGAAGATATTAACAGCACCACTTGGTTCAATTACAGAATCAATAAAGTAGATAGTACTTAAAGAAAAACTATTTCAAACAGTGCATTACATTGTCAAACCTATACATAGTTTATGTGCGTCAAACGACGTCAAGCGATTTCAATTTACCTCCTCAATCCAAAAACAATAAAATGTTCCAGTGAAATAGCTTGACACTTCAGAGAATATGAATCGCATAAAATAAAAGACAGAGATATTACAGAGATAAAGAGAAATATCCAGTTATTTATGTTTCAAACTTATAGCGAATAAAATTCGCTAGAATTTCGAGAATTCGTTTAATATTATTCCTACTAATTGGTTTCAACATAATATCATCGGTTTCAACAAAATAACAGTTGCCATCGGAGTTTTTAAGCCATTGCAAAGCTCCGCGGATATAGCATATTTTTTTAGCGTGGTTTTTTTACGCCAATAAGGTAAATTAAACTTAAATTCATATATCCTGGGCCCCAATTCTGCAAGATTTTACTTAATAATTCTCAAAATATATAATATTATGAGTAATATTATAGGTAATCTCAACAGCTTGCATATCGCCACTGTATTACCTACCTGAAGTCCAATTCGATTCAATTTATTTACATAAAACGCGGTTACAATATGGTCAGTAAAAGCGCTTCACGACCAAAACACCAAACGTCTTAAAAAGCATGCAAATCATGTAATTAACTTATATCTAAAAGAAATTGTCATCAATTTTACACTAAATAAGACAAGCACGAACAGCAGATTCAATATAAATACATATCAATGGTTATTATTTTTAATCAATCAAATATTATACATTATGTTAAGTTAAATATGTCGTCGGCAATTTAAAAATATAAATAAAACAATAAAGGAAGTCTATTAAGCGATCTTAAATTCCTAATCAGTAAAAAATTATGACATAACATCAATAAAATAAAATTGTTACCTATCATAAATTATTTGCTAAATATTCATTGACACTGTAATGACATTTATCCAAAAGTAATCAGTAAAATGTTGTTAGTCTTGTTAGTCACACAAATCAATTGTGACATATACATCCCTTAATTTACCCCCTTAGGGGTCGAATTTCGTAAAATCCCGTCTTGGTGAGCACCTACGTTCTAAAAAGAACCCGCATGCAAAATTTGGAACTCCTAGCACTTGTAGTAACGAAGTTTTATACAAAAATTTCATCCCCTAATTTTCCCTCTTAAGGGTTGAATTTCATAAAATCCCATCTTAGTGACCACCTACGTCTTAATAAGAACCCGCATACAAAATTTGAAACTACTAGCACTTGCAGTTTCTGAGATTAAGTGATGAGTGAGTGAGTGACCTTTCGCTTTTATATATATAGCTCTATATTTTGTGGCCTAGTAACAAGAACTTTGTCATCAACGGTTGTAGTTGAAGCGCTATTTATTTTCTATAATTACGCTAACATTAGCAGAATTCTCTACAGCTCCCTCAATATACTTAATATCGTGTTGAATACTTAATATCATAAGCTGACGTCAGTTTATATAACTTGACATATAAATTTTTTGTGTAGTTTAATAATAAGCTTATTATTGTTATTTCACTTTGAGCTTCTTGACTTTGATGACTTCCGTAGCCGAGTGGTTCTCATGCCAGTTTCAAGGCATCAATTCGATGACCGGTTGGAAGTATGCGTTAATAGAGTCGTCTTAAGTCTTAGTTTGGTGGCACCTACGTTATCTTAGATACTCCTCTACTTTAGGGATTTAGCTAACTCATCTTATAATTTAAACTATGTTATATGATGTCTAATATTTATTTATTGTATAATCAAAGTTAGTCCAATGTCTACTATAACTTAACACCTTAAATAAGTACCTGATGAAATTGGCGCAAATCCCATTATCATTATTGTCAAATTTCTTAATATCCGGTCTCAGCTAAATA